ACCACCATCTTCATGTTCTCAGTAAAAAACATCTTCATGATCTCAGTATCCAACATATTCATGATCTCCGTAACCAACATCTTCATGATCTCCGTAACCAACATCTTCATGATCTCGGTAACCAACATATTCATGATCTCCGTAACCAACATCTTCATGATCTCCGTATCCAACATCTTCATGATCTCAGTATCCAACATCTTCATGATCTCCGTAACCAACATCTTCATGAACATGAGCATCCAACATCTTCACGACAATCAATATGCAAGACCTTCACGATACCATCAGTATCAAAAAACGTACACGATTATCAGACCTCCAACACACGGAAGAGCCACAAGGTACCCGACGGCAACAGCATGATCGTCTCGGAACGACAGTACGGGAACGGGTTTTCACTGACCTGGAGAGGAGCGCCAAGACGGGGGAGGAAGGCCTTCGTCCCCTTGCTGAGGTTCCACTGTACCAGCACCGCTTCTTCCCCTCCAGAGAACAGCTGGACCCTGCGAGAGGGGCATGGTGGAAGGGGTGCCGTGTCAGGAGAGGGGGAGGGGGCATTCCTACATAGAATCATGTAACGTTACATATTAAAAACATGCATGAAATATGTTTGCCGGGCTGTTCGAGTCAAATAACACGTCAGCGGTGTGAGCTTGTGAAAAGTCACACCACAGCTGGCTGGGCTGGTTCTGCGACTGCTTACGCTTTCATCTTGCATCATCACCCCCTTGATGCCACTGTAACGTTCTCATGAGCCCACTCCAGAGGTATCCCTTGCAGCACATGTACCAAATGAATCACCGTCGCTAGAAACTAAATTTTACCATTGCAGGGACGACGGCCGCAACCAACCACGACTTACCCGTCCGGGGCGACGGACATGCAACGCACGGGGTGCGCGTGCCAGTGCATGTCGGTCGACGGAGCCCCCCCCTCCGAGAACACCTCCCGTGAGCCAGAAACCTTGAAGGCGGCCCGAAGCCTGTCCGTCAGCTCGTGCCACTGGCTCATGCTCCCGTCCAGGTGTCCCGTGACCAGCTGGAAAGATAGTCCGCAGCAACAAACACAACAAGAAACACATTAACGGCATCGTTAGAAGAGCAGCAACTGGATAAGCAACAATAACATCATCATCAACAGCAGCAACATAAACAGCAGTAGCAACAACACCAACAACATCAAGGTCAGCCATAGCAACAAGTACAAGAACAGCAGCAGCCACAGCCGCAGCCACAGCAGCAGCAGCAACAACAACAACGGAAACTATTGAAACGAGGGCAAACAAAAGCGCGACAAACAACGCATCACATGGACAGTAGTCGCCGTGCAGCACAAACCTCAAGCAAGGTTGACGGCAAAGCCGCGGCCAAGGAAGACAAGAGGGAACCACAACCCACGCTCGAAAAAAACAAGCCATGCGCCGAGCCCGATGAAACGGCCTCATCCTGAACTTGGCCACTACCACCTACCCCCCCCCCCCTCTCACCGTTTCCCCGTCGCCCCCCACGACCAAGCTCCGCACGGGGGCCACCGCCGTCACCAACGCCGCCTTGTCGCCGGTCCCGACATCGACGGCCATGACATCCCTCCCGTCCTTCCACAACAGCACCGGACAAGTTGTTGCTCCCCCCCCTCGCCTCTTCGCGTCGCCCCCTCCCCCGGCGGCGGCGGCGGGAACGGGGGAGCGGGGCGCCGTGGTGCCGATCCAGCGGTACTGCTGCCTGGAGACGAGGATGACGGCTTCGGAGACCCCCTTGGCGAGGCCGTACCGCACCGCCTTCGGAAACAGGGCCGCAGTGAGGAGAGCGACAAAGTGTGTGTGTTTGTGTGTGTGTTTATTGTTTGCATCGAGCGCGCGAGCCGGCTGAGATATGAAAAGACGCCAGTCGCAGTGTCTCAGTGCGGTTGAAAACAGCAAATGATTCTTAAAGGCCGTGATCTTGGAGCCCGTGTGTGCGTCTTGCTTGTTAGCATCGACCGCGCGAACCGGCTGACCAAAGACCCTTTGTGTATGTGTGTTTTACACTTATGTGCATCGATCGCACTAATCGGCAGACCAATGAAAAAATATCAGTCTCAGATGTGGCTGGTACTGTGTGTGTGTGTTTTTTTTATTGGTCCTGAAATCTCTTCTGGCGTGCCCGTCTACACAGTTTAAACTTAAATGGACAAAAAAGAGAACGCGTGTGCATGTTTGACAGGACAAAAACGCCACATACGACAACCCGACGCGAAGGAAGTAGTGTAGTACATCGAACGAGCTTCTTCGTCGGACGTCACATTCGGCCACACTCCCGCCTCTGGAGACTAAAAATCTTAAACTTTTAATACTGGAACGCCATATTTCAGGTACAACTACTCTCGGCCGAGCCGTGACACTCGGCCAGCAGGCCTTCTTGTCCTTCTTGCGCGGGGGGTATGACAGAGTCACAGGCAGAGAAAGGGCGCCATGCGTCACGGTACGGGTTGCGGCGCACGGTGAGGGGGCGGGGCAACCAGAAACACCGCCTTACAAGAAACTGTTCTTACTATAACGAGAAGGAGGAGGTTAACAAGGCAGACACCGGGCCACGCGCGAGCCTCCTCGCGCTAGTCACTTGCCATAACGAGAAAAAGAGGTAAACAAGGCCTCATCACGCTTTTCACCTGCCAGTCGAAGAGGCGCTGGTCAGCCTTAGCGCCGTCGCCCCTCTTCCTGCGGCGACCGAGGGCGCCCTTACTCCCACGTGCATTCCTCATCGCCCCCTTGTTGGGCCCCCCCGACGACGCACCGCCTGCCTCCTTAACCCTGCCACCACCACGGCGGCGAGAAGGAGTTGTGCTCCCCCCTCCCTCCTCGATCTCAACAACGTCATTATCATCATCCTCATTGTTTTCGTCGTCATCAGAAGAATCGTCCTCTTCCGAAGTTAAGTCATCGTCATCGTCGTCGTCGTCGTCCATGTCTTGGAGGCCGTTCGAGGCAGGGGCGGACGGAGTCCCCCCCCTCTTCGCCTTCTTCCCGCCAGCGTGGCCCCCTTCTCCTCCCGCTTCCTCCCCGTACCCGTGAAGAGCAGCGGTGCCCTCCTTCGTGACTACGATAACGTCCAGGGCGCTGCCATTGTTTTCGGTGTTGTCACGGGGGGGGAAGTTGTTCGCAGGTGGAAGAGACAAGCGGGTCACGCACGAACTTTGGGCGTTCAGAATGTTGCTGCTGATTGTCTGAAGCTTAACTCCGCCGTTCAAACTTGTCGTTTGTGGCAACATCATCATCAGCGAGATGGCATATCTTGGCCGGTGTTTTTATCAACTTCTACAACCACGTCTACCCCAACACGAACAGAAATCAACCCAAGGAAGGAAATTGTTTGCTCTCATTATGTAGGGATTTTCTGTCGCAGATCGTGCTTGCCGGTGAAAGAAACACACAGCACGAACAGAGAGAAAGAGCGCAAGAGAGAATACAACGCTCGCCTGCCGGGGCAGCAACATAGCTATCGCAGAACCGGCAGCAAAAGCAAAGTCGACCATAGCACCAACATCAACAACCACAGCAACGTCGGCCACACAACCACAACAGCAGCAACAGGAACACCAAGCACTCACGTCCCGCTGCCGTCTTGTCTGCCCATGAAGAGATGGTACACGGGCATTCCCACGTTGTAAACTCGAAGACACCGCTCAGCCTCTCCCTGGAATCAGAGAGGGAAATAAACATCACGATTGTCGGTGCTAGGAGGAGGCGTGCGGCTAACCCGCGGGCAGGATGCTGGACATGCTCCTTACGGCGAGTTGGAACTGGTACGATACCAGAGCGGGAACACGCCCCGCAACATTCAGGTTCACTCCCTATAAATGAATGCAGTGGTGCATTTGGTTGTTATGCACAATGAGGGAAAGCCTCCACGGCGGCTCCAACAACTGGACCAGAACCGGGACATGAGCAGCGTGGACACGCTAAAAAAGCTCCACGAGACGTTAATTCCAACTCCAGCATGTTTTGTTAGAGAAACCATCAGCAACCAGGCAAAGGCACAGCAACTACCGTATACAACACAAGATAACACACCCCCTGGACCGATTTTTCAAAGCTCGATTTCTCAACAGCAGAAAGACTCACGGCGCCGAAAACGGCCGCGTTGGAGCCGTCTTGTCGAGAGCTTTCCGAAAACGCATCGTTTCGTTTATGCGTCCTCTTTGTCGTGGGGTAATCGAGCTTTGAAAATCAGTCCGGGGGGTGTGCTATCTTGTGTCGTATACGGTAAACCAGAAGCACGAAGACCGACTACCTTGGTGCGCGCCACAGCTGTAGTACCGAACACCCAGCATCACACACACACGTTAATGAGAAAGCGTGTTCTCGTTGTATTATCCCGCCGTAAGACTGACGTGTTGTCATTGGTCAGCCGTTTAGTGCGTCCGATGCCAACAAAAGAAACACACGAACACAGACAGACCTCTAGGGACATTAGGTCGGCGGAGACATCCCACAGTCTCAGCGTTCCGTCCAGGCTGGACGTCAGGAGACGTCCGCCGGTGGCGGCAGCACCAGCAGCAGCAGCACCAGTACCGCTCCCATACACCCCCAGTGGCATCATCACCATGGCCGTCACATCTTTCGTGTGGCCTGCTAGCCTCAGCAGCTAACGGCGGAGAGATGTTATGTGGCGGGGACACAGAATCAGGCAAGGGGAGTGAGGGCGTCAACAGACAGGCACACAGAAAAAAACAAAGCCCGCGGGCGGGGCGAGGGGGGATCAGATGTCGGGCTGTGTTTGCATGGGGATAAGCCTGGGATGCAGTGGGTGCTGGCAACGGCCAGAATCAGAAGTTCCGGGTTTGCGAAGGGGGGCATGAGGAACAGCCTGCTGGTGCACAACTGGAGGTTCGGAATCTAACGTTTACACAGGTATCAGAGAACTATTGAACGTTGTAAAAACGATGCCATACACAATGCAATGCGATGGGACCGGCGCTGTTCAAAGGTATATATATAGCATGACTTGGTGAATCAGTCTGTACTAAGCAGAAATTTTATCGGCGCTATACAGGCCACCGGTGCTATCCACCTGCGTTGTACTGACGACCCCCCCCCCCCACTGCCGTTGGCCCGGTCTTTCACGACGGCTAAGCGCACCATGATGTGGTGCTTACCTGCTCGCCCGTCTCCACGCTGACGCCTAGCACGCTAGAGCTGCACGCGCAGAACACGGCGTCCGACCTGCGGAACGGTAGATGCGGCCAAGAGCCAACGCGGCGTGAGGAAGAAAAATTACAATCCCCCGCACGCAGACGCACTGCTGTATTGTTGGCATTCGACGTCAATGGGGGTGATTGTAGTGCGGGGTCGGTGCCACATGTGCTTCTGCAGACAACGGCAACAATTTCACTTGTAAAGTACAAAGCACTCCCATTCCACCTACGATCCGAAGAGCCGAAGAGCATTGGCATTGGTGTGGGTACTGCTGTACGGCGGTGTAGCAAGTATGCTTGGTTACACCGAAGACAACTATAAATACCACATGAGCACCGCTGTTCGCACTCGTACAATCAGAGGAGCATTGGTATTGGCGTATCGGTATTGATACGAATACCTATGTCGTCCACAGCACAGAGGGTTCTGACGCCGACCGAAAGACTGCGCTGCTCTCTTCCACAAACAAGAGCTTCGTGAAGCTAAGCACAGCAGAGGCGCCCGATTCTCTTGTGGGTGTGCGATCATGGTGGCAGGGCGATGGGGCGGGCTCTACAACTACGTTGCAACTTCCAGCAGTCAGGAAAGCAGTCAGTCAGGACAGCAATAAAATGCATGTTTTTAAATTCCGTGCGACAGAAGCCATACATCACGATGTCCATCGCCACCGCAGAAAAGCCAAACAAATATATCCGCCTCCTGCATGGCGTGATGGGGTGTCGAAGGCACTACACAAGCTACCTGAAGGCATTCGTAAAGAATGGTGTGTCAGGTATCACGAGCCACCCATAAGGTTTGACGTGCAGTCGACTGCCCGCAGCACCACTCACGAAGGGCTGAAGACGGGAGAGCACCGGAACAGGCTCCCGGACAGCACGGCTCTCGTCTCTTCCGAAGCAAGGATAGGAGGGTCCACAGTAGCACCTCCACCAGCGCCACCAGCAGCAGCAAGCTGCTCTCCACCACCGCTGCCGCTGCTGCTATCCATGCGGCGTTTGACACCAGCAGAGCCGCTGCTGCTGCTCTTGGCGATAGCAGTCTTCGTAGGAGTGGACTTACGCGACTCTCTCTTGGCTTGTGACGCAGGTGGCTGCATTTCTCCTAAGTCAGGGTCTACCAGGGTGGCAGTCCGGACCGCGAGTCTACCTTACAGCTACGCTGTTGATGCTGTCGCTATGTGTCGATGCCATGCGGTCATGCGGTGCGGTACCACCACCGATGCGGCGCGACTTAGGGGGCTCCGTACATACACCGCGTATTTTCTGCCTCCTCCCTCCCGCCGCCTGCTAGACACAGTCTAAGAATTGTCCAACGGCAGGCAGCACATCATCGAAAGCGCGCTGCGCGAGTGGATCAAGCGTGCATAGGGACGGCGTGGAGTAGCCTTCTCCGGCTGAAGACGTTATGAAACGAAGCCGGCCGGAATACTCTTCACGGCGGTCGCGGTCACCGTCACCATCGCCAGATGCTCACAGGTGTGTGTGTTCGTGTTGACAACAACAAACACCAGCAGTGGGATACTTTTTCATGACCTTCGCTGGTTGTGCGACCGACGTGCAACAACAGCGTTGCTGTCCCTCTCGCCTTTCCTCCAGGTGCAACATGGCCGCCCTCCTTGCCTGCATGATTGTGCCATTGGTATGTTTCTTCAGAATAAGCGAATAGACAAAGGTTAAGGTTTGCTGGGCTGACTGATATTGGTCGTTCCATCCATCATGACAAAGCAGAAGGTGTGCCGGGCAGAGGGGCTATGCACATGACCACCATCTTTGTGTGTGTGTTTTTGTCTCTCCCTCTCTCTCTCCCTCTCTCTCTCTCGCTCCTCCCGCCTCTCTCTCTCTCTCTCTCTCTCTCTCTCTCTCTCTCTCTCTCTCTCTCTCTCTCTCTCTCTCTCTCTCTCTCTCTCTCTCTCTCTCTCTCTCTCTCTCTCTCTCTCTCTCTCTCTCTCTCTCGCTCTCTCGCTCTCTCTCTCGCTCTCTCTCTCTCCTTGTCTCCTACCCTACCGTATCCCGTCCTATGACCCCCTGCTGACGCTACACCACCATGCCCCGTTGCCTGCGCCAGCAGTCACGCCGCCCTCCGGGTACCGGTGACACCTACCAAGGCCGCCGCCATGAAGGAATTCGCGTCGCCTCTTCGTCGCCGACAAAGCAGCTCCGGAGCAGCAGCAGCAGCAGCAGCAGCAGCAGCTTCTTCCATGCTGCCACCCCCGCCGTCACCGCTCAAGACAGGAGGCCAGTACCAGGAACAACAACAGCAGCAGCAGCAGCAGCAGCAGCAGCGGGTGCCCTTGTCCCGCCTTCAAGAGGCCGCCCGCCCGAACGGAGATGCCCACCAATCGGCAACAACGACAAGCTTCCAGTCCCCTAGTAAACGCAGCAGCTTCGCGCGCGGGCCGCGGACGGGGAAGGCCGGTCCTTCCGCTAGCGCCGCCGGCGCCGTCGGGCTAGCTATCTCCTCTCCGCCGAGGGTGGTGACAGCCGGGGGCGCGATGCGCGTGTTGACACCCGCAAAGGTTGCCCGCAACGCGGGGGGTAAAATGCAGCATGTCAGCGGGGGGGGCGACGGCACGCTTTCTCACTCTAACAGCAGCAAGGAGAACGACTTGCCTTCGTCTGCGACTCATCTTCCTTCGGACGGCGGCGGCGGCGGCGAAACTACCGCCGTTTCCGGCGGTGGAGGAACTTGCGACGGTTTCGGCGCTCGCAACCGGTTCGGGGCCGCGCGGCGGGTCAGCAGCCACAGCAGCGGCAGCGGCGATAGGCCGGTGGACGATGAAGAAGGCGGCAGTGAAGACGCCGCCGCCGACGATGATGGTGTCCTTCCCGGTAGGGTCGCCGTTCCCCCAGTAAGGACCTCTGCTGCTGCTGCTGCTGCTGCTGCTGCTGCTGCTAGGTCGGCCTTCGGCCCCGCTCGAGTTAATGCCGGACATCGCAGCTCGGCGACGGCAGCAACAGCAGCTGACCGCCGGGCTTCCGCCGCCTCTTCTCGGCGCGTGAGGAGGGTGGGCAACGGCCGCGACGGTGCCGGAGCGAGCGTGGGGACGGAAGCGGGGGAACCTCAACGTAGTGCTGCCCGGAGAAGCAGCAGCGCCAAGAGCGCGGGACCGGGGGTATCAGAGGCAGCCGTTAGCTCTTGGGGAACGGTTGGGGCTACCGCTGACATCAGAAACGACCCCCGGCGGGTAAGCACGTGGAGCAACAACAGCGGCAGCAGCAGCAGCAGCAGCAGCAGCGCTCCCAGCATCGGGAGGGGGGAGAACGCCGGGCGTCGATCGGTGTCTCGACGCATCGGCACCAGGCACCGAAATAGCAGCACGGGGGGAAGCAGCAGCACGGCCTCTGAGGATGCTTCCGCCGTCTTGTCCTCTGTGTCGAACGCCTCATCTGCGAAGAGAAACCTCACGGGAGAAGCCGCCGGTCGAGTGCGCGATCGGAGCACCAGCAGTGGCGGCGGAGGGGAAGGGCTAGCGAGGAGAGCGTCTGCAGCGGGTAGGTGTCTGGCGGGGACGTGCGAGGAGTGCGGCAAGGGGAAGGGCGAGAAGAGAGGGGACGAGGGAGGAAGGCCTTTGTGCGAGGACTGCGCCGCCGACTCCGCCGAGCATGAGGCGGAGAGACAGAGGGCGGTGTCAAGGAAGCCTGCGGGGAGGAGAAGTGGTGTTGCTGCGGTGAGTATATGATGCGCTGCGTGTTTTGTTTTTGCTGTACTTGGGGGGGGGGTTCTGGCAGTTCCGCGGGGTCTGCATTCTTGATTCCCCGCACCCGTTGGCCCTGCTGCGACTAAACTAGACGG